GACAATTAGTGCACTAATTATAAGCTTCGTCAGGAAAGGAATCGAAAGATTGCAGAAGCATATAGCCCGGAACGGGGTGGATAACTGCCGAACGAACCTTTTGTAACCTGACACATACCGGGGAAAATTGGGAGAGCAGCACCTGGAGCTCTCCTCGATTACTCTAGTGATCAGTAATATTCTACTGTAAGCAAGTTATTATTCCTAGAGGTATGCTAACAATGAGAAGTGAAAAATCGATGGGTTAGTAGAGTCAGTGAAGTCAATATGTGGAGGCAACAGAAAGCATGTAAGCAAAGGAATCAGAATACTGTAAAGATTGCTGCGAGGGTTTAGTCTCTGCAATATAGTTGGAGATAGCCTAAAGCGTTTCAGCAGACAAGGAATAACTGATACCATGACTTCCGAGCCAAGGGTGAGCAGAGAGTAGAGATGGAACCGAAGAAGTCTGAAAGGGGAGGGGAGCATGGACCTGGAGAGACTTACCAACGGGAACAGAAGAGTGGTGGAACAGCAGAGGAAGGAGGCTGGAGAAGTTTAAAGGATAGGAACAGAAGGGACCACACTAATGAGAGGATTAAAACTCCACCTCCGTGCGAGGCCAAAAGAGAACCATTTTGGAATTTTAAAGCACAGGAAGAATGCAACAAGACTTGGGCTTAGACAAGTTCAACCTCACAGGTTATAGGCATGAAGATGTAGGCGTGCAAGGCCTCAAACTAGTGGGAGAGAATAGAAAGACGAGGTGGGGGTTTGATAAAACAGCTAAAGAATTAGAGGGGAAGGGGGGCACGCACGACCCCAGGAGAGCTGGAGGAACCATAAAGGTTGAAGGACTCCTAGCTACTCTTAAGATAAGAACACGAAGATCATCCTGAAGGCAGAGCCAAGAGACTGCACAAAGCAGGTTTTTACTCTCCAAGACAATGCATTTAATGTTCATTTAGACCCGACGTTGGGTGGGGGGGGGGAAGGTTCATCGCAATTAAGACAAGTAGGATAGGAGGGGGCGGGAAAACGGGAGGCTACTGCAAGATGCATTTGCACGATCTGTGGTGCCAGACTGGCACTCCACCTGCAGATCTATATATATTGCACGCCTAGGCGATGGCGTGCAATATATAATAGAATGGGAGTTCACGGCAGTCAAAGGTTAAGCAGGTGATGTTACTGGGGAAAGCACTACCGCCCACGAGTGGGCAGGACATTTATCCACTGAGAATCTGGAGGCCCTGAAGGGCTAACTGCTCCAAAATAGTCAGAGCAAGACAAATCTAAAGTGGTACACTGAAGCCACTGTACCACTGCAAGAACTTAGAGTAGCATGCTTGTGAACCATAATAGGAAAGCTAGTGGAAGATGGGAAACATCACGAGCTTGTTCTGCATTCTGAACTATGCATGCACCACTTTGAAGAGCTTGAAAGGGTATATTTTGGCCAGCGTGTTTTGACCAAATACTGTGGTCTGAAAGATCAGTTGGAGAAGTCTGTTGTAGGGAAGAGACTAGCAAATGGTCTGGAAAATAAAGGGGTAATCCCACAGGCAACCTGACCCAATTTGGGTGGGCGATCCGAGAACTGTCGCACCATGTTGGGGGAAGGGAAGCTGGAGGCAGTTAAGGCGTCCAAGAGGCACGAAGAAATTTGCACCTGGAGCAGGTGACGAAGTCACCAGCAGAAGGTACAGGGAAAAAATCTAGGGCTTAGTGTTCCCCCCCCACCCACTCATCCAAGAGAACCACAAGCAGTGCAGATTCAGCGTGTACCCTGTACCATGGCCTACCCTTCATACCAGTGAACTGGGATAGCAACCTCTTACCGAGCCACTTGGGCAGACAGAGGGTGGTTGGAACAACCTGTCACGAAGCACATCAGCTGCCACCTCCCAAAACCGACAGGCAGCCTCTGGAGATAAGCCAGTTAACTGCAGGACACTTAACCCCACCTCTGAAATCCAGGAAGGGCGCAGGGTGTCTGCAGATAAATTCCATGGCAAAGTATACCACTTGAGAAATTCCATAGAGCAGGATGAACCTCTGCACAATTTCTTTACCTCGGAACTAATGCCGGGGAGGGGGGTAATTAGGTTAGGTTTGACGAAGATGAGATGGGTCTTGGATAAAAGCTTTTTTTTTTATCAATCCTGTTTTCCTCCTTCAAAGATGTTTCGCTTAAGTAGGAATGCTTAACGGTGAAGAAAGTGAAAAGTTTTGTAATAATTTAAAGTTTATGAAATACATTTTTTCGTTCAGTTCAATGTTCATCGTGCAGTTGGTAAGTTTTAGTAGAATTAGTTTATTTAAGTTATATTGTAAAAAAAAATTTTACCTTAGCATAAATAACGTACAGGAGAATGTTTTTTTTTTTTTGTTTGTTTTTTTTAGATGGAGTACTTCCAGTAGTTCTTGTTAATCATTAGTTTTTTTTTTTCGTATTTGTCACGAGTTACCTTTCGGAAGATTGGGGGGGGGGGGAAAGAGGAAGGAGACTAGTAAAAAGATTTAAGTATGGAGGAGAGTTTAGACTGTTGGAACGTGGATAATTTAGTACAGATTCGGAATGGCAGCCTATTGGTAGTCTCATTGCAAGAGACTAATTTGCATATATTCAAGGAAGTTGCGAGTGGGGAATTAGAGAATGTTGTAGAACTGTATGAAAGATTTAAGTTTATTATCCCTGTCAAGTACCAAAAGTTACCTTTTTCCCTCCAGCCCCCTTTCCTGATAAAGGAGAGGGTAAGCAGGTTTAGTCAATATGCGAGTAATTGCTTATAAAGACCGAGAGCATGTATTTGGGGAAAGAAAAGTAATGTTTTAAGAACGCCTTTAAATAAAATATTCAGGAATTACACTTAATAACTAATGGAATTGACTAGTAAACAAGGTGGTACAATTATAGACGGGCTGGCTTGCAGGTATGGTATTCAAGGCAAGTGTCGAAACAGCATTTGTGGTCTCGTGGACAGAACCCGTCGTGTGGACACATCTGAGTAGGGGAAAAGGAAAGAATTAAGTATTATCCCAAGAAAAAAAAAAAAAAAAAAAAAAAAAAAAATTAAGATTGTTTACGTACGTGTGGCCGAGAGTCATGGGAGCATGGTCTCTGCTTAGGGCATCTACCAGCGTGATCTGTGAAACAAAAATTGAAGTTAGTTTCTATTTAGAATTATGCAAGTTATTGTTAATCAAATGTAAAGCGAGGTACGTACTCTCCTCCCTCATGAGGGGATAGTCGGGACCACAGCAGTAGGTGGTGCCTTTTAGATTGCCTTCTGGCCTGGTACACTGGTATTGGCATGGTGGCAGATTCTTGGTATCAGGACGAGTATGGATGGGTATGTGCACCGGGCTATGGGTCGACGTCGTGTGCACCGGGCTATGGGTCGACGTCGTGTGCACCGGGCTATGGGTCGACGTCGTGTGCACCGGGCTATGGGTCGACGTCGTGTGCACCGGGCTATGGGTCGACGTCGTGTTGCACCGGGCTATGGGTCGACGTCGTGTGCACCGGGCTATGGGTCGACGTCGTGTGCACCGGGCTATGGGTCGACGTAGGGTGCACCGGGCTATGGGTCGACGTAGGGTGCACCGGGCTATGGGTCGACTTGTAGGCGTGTGCAGGTTCAGGGATTAATGTAGTGGAAACAGATGAAAAGCGAGTACTCATAGGTCCACCACGACCAAGGTTTGGGGGAGACGACAATACGACGCCACTGAGGACTGCCAGTGCCATCAGACACAACTGTTAGAAGACAAAGTTAATGTATCAGAATTATATTAAATTAACCATATAAAAAGCAAAACTTATTAATTATTTTACTCACCATGATTACTGTAACAAAAGCCAGTCGAATTCAGTAAAAAATAACTCGGGCTCTCAGTGATGACTGATCACCGAGGCCGCCCTCACTCCCTTATATACTGGTCTAGCCTTCCCTCCCCTCCCTCTTTACCCCCCACTTATCTAGTAAAGGTTTAATTTCTATCAGCTAGAGAAGATTCACATGGCATCAACACGAATGAATTTAGAAATGAAAATGCACTGTGATTTTATTTTAATCTCTATCACAGAGCTTAAAGTCAATTTAATAATAGCGTTCTATTGAACTGTAGCCTTAATGAGCTAAGTGGAGGCAGTAAGCTTTTAACCTGTTATGTTAGCGAGGACGATTAAGGTCAAAACCACTGTTTAGCTAACACCAAGGATATTTTAATTAAAAAATACGTAGATAAATATTATTCTCCCAGTTTTTTTCTGTACTTTATTTAAAACATTGCATAATTTTTTTTTATATTTTTAAAAGTAATACAGCATTTTTTTATATATTTTATTTAAAACATTACAATACATTAAATAAATAAAAAAGAACACAGTATCAGTTCTTCCACAGAAATTATAAATTTTCATTGCCGAAATACACTGGACGTTTAACTTTGTGCTGACACAAACTGTCCCTCATCCTCTATGCATTATATCCCTTTGCACCTATGTTAAATACAAGATTACACATTACATCAACCAAAATACTTACAATATGCTTTATTATTATAAACAAAGAAGCGCTAAACCTACAATATGCATTAATTTTTCACTTTTTTAGGGTATTAAGACCAGCGCTGCCTGACCACGGTAGTGTGCGGTAGTGCTCTGCACCCCTCTGCTGTGTGTAGGCGAGCGCCCTTGTCAGTTACCTGGCTGCAGTGGTGTGAAGTGGTGCTGTCACACCTCGGCTAACAACTTAGGTGCACTGTGATCGTCAAGATGGCGGTTTAGTCTGAGACGAAGGATAAATACTGTAGGCATCGAGCTACTTAAAGGAACGATAACGACCAGTTCTGCGCAAGTCTTATTGCCAAAGATCATACGGGAGACTTATGGAGTACAAGATTGTGACTTGTATGGTGTAGCATTGAACGGAGGACAACGAATTTTCGTCAAACTGCTATCTGCAACGGTTTATGAATCGTTAATCACCAGGTTTCAGGAAGTGAGTCTTAACGTCACACCAGCTGTCACTGTAAGAATGATAGATGTTTCACGGTATTATACGTGGATCAAGTTACGCAACGTTCCCTTTGAGGCGGACGAGGCAGATATAAGGAAAGTTTTTGAGAAGTATGGGACGGTGCATTATGCTCAACATGGTACGTGGGCGGCAGGAGCCTATGCTGGTTTTCCAGAGGGTTCTTTCTAACCTCAAAATGACTTTGAGGCACCAAATACCTTCCTATGTGTACCTACAAGATTTCAGGACGCAGGTAATGGTAATGTACCCAGGACAACGACGTACGTGCCGCCTATGTGGTGAGTATGATCACATAGCGGCGACTGTGACAAGCGAAGACATGTGCCTGGACCTGTGGTGGACGTCGCAGCCCTGCTTCAAGGTGGCAGGTGAGGAACAAACATCGGATGGAGGGCGTGGTGTTTTGTGGAGCGAGATAGTGGATCGGGCACACAGGACTGGTGGTGAGTTGGAGTCCCGCCCCAACTGCCTGATCAGGTGTCGTCTCCTGTGGATAAGGAGGAGCAGCAAGTACAAGAGAAGGTTCATGAGATTGAGGAGGAATTGGTGGAGGTGTTGAAGACGTTGTCACCACCAGAGAGGGATGTTACATCTGAGCGTGGTGTCATTGGAGAATCGTCGCTTCCAGAAAGTCTGAGACATGATAATTTGGGGACGTGATGGTGGTTTGGAGTCATCCATGACTCATTACACCATTCTCAGGTGGAGGTGGAGGTTCATCGAGAGGTAACATCTGATCAAGATATGTGTAACATGAGTGTCACGAGAAAGAGGGCAGCTACATCAGATTCTGATGACGTCCTTACGCCTGCACAAGGCTGGGAAAAAGACTGAGGTCAAGTGTGAAGGTAGTGGTGTAGGTGGTGGTAGACCATGATAGGAGGCACCGGAAGAAGGGGGGAGGGAAAGAGAGCACTCTGAGGTGTTGAACGTAAATTCAAGCTCTGGAGTTGTAAAGAGTGATGAGAGGAAGCAGGGGTGGAAACGTTAATAGGCCTTAGGTGTATGTCTGTAAATGTTAATGGGTTATGTAGCGGTATGAAGAGAGATTGGTTTCGTAATTTTCTGAATAAATCTAGAGTGGATGTTGTGTGTTCCTGCAGGAGCACAATTTCAAAGGGTTAGGGTGTTGGAGGTGGCAGGATTTCGGGTAGTTACCCTGCCATCTCCCGTCTAAAAGGTGGTGTGGGAATTTTAATAAGGGAGACGAGCCCGTTTGTTTTGCAGAGAAGCGAGGGAGGAGGGGGTGGGAGGGTGTTGCGTGTGGATGGGTGGTGGATGGGTAGCGTGTGTCTTTTGTGAGTGTGTATGCGCGGCAGAAAATAACATAATAGGTAAGAATGATTTTGTGTGTGAGGATCTTGTGTTTTTCTTAAGTGCACTGCCAGAGGTGGCGATAGTTGGTGGGGACTGGAATAGTGTAATCAGGGTGGCTGATGTGGACCCAAGAGGAGCTGGATATATGTCTGTGGCTCTTAGGGATTTATTAAGGGATGTTAGGTTACGTGATGCCTTTGGGGGAGCGGTGTGGGAGACTGAATATACGTTTGTTAGGAGTGGTTATGCTGCGAGACTAGATAGAGTGTACCTTTCTCAGGGAGTGAACGTGAATCTTTCAGTACTGTTGAGACTACAATGTCAGATCATAGGGCAGTGGTGGTGGAGGTTGGGTGGGGGACGCTCGCGGACATATATAGAAGTTATTGGAAATTGAATATAAGTGTGTTAGGAGATGAGGAGGGGTTGGAGGGGTTTTCAGTCCTATGGAGGGAGCTTAGTGTGGAAGAACAGGGAGTGGATGACATTGTGACATGGTGGGATAGTGTCGCAAAGGAAAGGATTAGAAAGTTTTATGTGAGAGAAGGAAAACGTATAAATAATTTAAAATATGGACTGGCTAACTATTTAGAGGATAGGTTAAGAGCTTGCTATGGGAGGGGGGTGGGTGGGAATAATTTTCCTATGGATGAAATAGCTGAAATAAAGGGGAGGTTGAGGGTGTTGCAAAATGAAAGGTTTCAAGCTGTAAGGATGCAGGCAGGGGTGGAGGAAGTGCTTTGGGGCGACAAGCCGTCAGCGTGTGTTTTGCGGCATCAAAAGCAAAGGCAGGCGCTGACGGCTATACCATGTTTAGAGGTAACGGAGATGGTTGGGAATTATAGAGTAGGGCAGGAGATACGAACCACGAAGGGGATGTGTGCGTATGCGGAGGCTTGGTACGAGAAATACTGGAACAGTGGGGGGGTGGGTGACGGGGCATTGGACAAGGTGTGTACGTATGTGACGTGTAATTTAGGAAATAGTGATCGAAAGGCTTTAGGTGGGGACGATTACGGCAGAGGAAATAGGAGAATGCGTTAAGGGGAATGAGGAAGGGGAAAGCTCCCGGTATTGATGGTCTCCCGGTTAGAATTTTATTTACAACATTGGGCGTTGATAAAGGAATTTATAGTTAGGTTATTTAATAGTATGAAGGAGAAGGGGAAAGTTGGGGGGAAGCAGGAAACAGCAGTAGTAGTGCTGTCCCGAAGGTCAAGGGGCAGCCCACCCTTCGGGAGTACGAGCCATATCACTGATGTGTGCAGAACTATAAGGTGTTTGCAAAAATTTTAGGTAATAGGTTCAAATGTGTAGTGGAGAGGGTGGTGTCAAAATCTCAGTTCGGGTTGCCGGGAAGGTCGATGATTGAAGGGCATGGGATACTGAGAAGTTTTGTGGAAGCTAAGGGTGGGGGTGGAGGGGCGGCTTTGTTGGCTCTAGACTGGCAGGGAGCATATGATAGAGTGGAAAGGGGAGCTTTGCAGGTTATACTTAGGAGACAGGGTTTTGGGGAGGAAATAGTCGAGTGGGTAAATACGTTGTACAAGGGGGCGAAAATGAGGATACAGATTAATGGGTGTATGGGGAGGGAAATTGCAATGGGAAGAGGCCTTAGACAGGGATGCCCCATGTCCCAAATATTGTTTGCGTGTTTCCAGGACCCCTTTTATAGAATGGTTGACCGTTAGCTTATGTACGCCTGTGTGGGAAGTGTGGGGGGTGGGAGGGCCTGGCCGGGGTTAATTGGATATGTTGACGACACCACTGTTCTCTTTCGTGCAGGGATGTCAATGAGTGTGTTGGACGAGGTGGTGCAATTATTTGGAAGTGCCACGGGTATGCAGGTAAATAGTGCGAAGTCAAGGTGCATGGGGTTGGGTTCTTGGGTGGGGGGTGGGGGGGGGAGATGTAATGTTGTTAAAGAATGGGCGGTGTCTTTAAAGATTTGTGGTATTATTTATAGGGATGACATGGTTGCGGCGCGGGAGGAAAATTCGGATAGGTTATTGGAAAGGATCGTGGGGCGTCTAGGTGTTCTGAGACCCCAGCACCTAACTCTGATACAGCGAGTGATAGTCGTGAACATTTTATTGTATAGTAAGGTTTGGTATGTTGCAGCTGTGTTCCCAATTACAGGGACAGCGATTGCGGGGATACTAAGACGGGTGTACAAATTTTTATGGGGTTCACGTTGTGATTGGTTACGGAGGGAGGTTGTAATGTTACCTGTAAGTCAGGGTGGGTTGGGGTTGTTGGATTTGAGACGGAGGGCCTAAATGTGTGTTCATTAAATGGGAAGTGTTGCGTGAGGGTGTGAACGCGGGGCGTTTGGGAAGGATACACGACAGGCTGGGTATGTGGTATCGAGGAATGGAGTTGAGGGAATGTGAAATAGTTTTGAGGGCTGTTATGTTGGTTAGGGAACTGAGAAAGGTTCGTATAAGGGTTTTGTGTAGGTTACTTGTAGGTAGGTGCGTTGTCCCAGTTGAGGGTTTGTTCCCCATGTATGCGTGGAAGAGTATTTGGTTTAGATTTAGTAAATTGAAGTTAAAAACCTCGGGCGCGTGAGGTGATGTTTCGTTTTCTGCATGGGATCCTT